GTTTCGTCACCCAGCTACTGAGTTGAGTGCATGTTGCAACCCTTCAGATGTGGATTTCATTTGGAATGTTTCTTTACAGTGACCAACGTGGTGTTGTGTATTGTAAATTTAGAAAATGGCGCGCGGGCCTGTCGTCGCAATATTGGTGGTGCCCTTTTTTGATTATGATTGACCGCGTGTGCAATTGCAGATTTGTTGGTTAAATCTATTACCTTTGATGATGACTGCATGTCTAATGTCGGACTGTTTGGATGGCTACCGTATGCTTTAAATACGTGTGTATGCTAGTGCATATGCTGAGACAGCAGTCTGTCAATCTCTCCACAAGGGACTGTGATGAAGATTTTGTATGTGTTTTGTTGGCACAGGAGCGGAGCAAGTATGGGGTGTCCTGTTTGCTATGAAGCTGAAACTAAAATTAACATTACCATTACATTATCGCAAAAGAAGAAGAAGAAGACATATCCTGTACCCATCTTCATGTTGGTCGTCTTCTGCCCCTTCCTTCCTGTTACCATGCCTTCTGTTATTATATCTTCCATGGTAAGCCCTACTGCTTGGACACCCAAAAACAGCAAGTGATTAGTATCATCTTCATCCCTAATTGATGCTATTAGTGCCAGACAGGGACAATGAATAGGGAACTAGAACAGAAAAATATAAAATGTGCCGTCTCCATAAGTTGACTAACAACACAAGAAGAGACAGGATTAGAGGGAAAGCTGAAATAAGACTGTCTGAATTATATTGACAAAGGAATGAAATGGTGAGAATGCAGCCAGACCAGAATGCGTATGAGAGTTTTATTTTTTTGACAGCAGAACATCTGAGAGGAAGGTGAGGGGAAGACCAAGGAAGAGATGAATAATGGTGTAGGTGAAACCTGCAAAAAAGAGTTTCTTCACCCAAGAAGTGCAAGACAAATACAGAAAACATGACACAGAGAGAAAAAAGGAAAATGAGAGGAAGAAATAACAGTCTGGTTTCTTCTTTAGTAAGTATAAGCTCAGGCAGGAAGAAAAAGAGTTAACGCTTTATATGGAACAGACGTTATTTGCTTGTGAGTGCGGAATTTTTGTTTTTGAGAATAATGCTGAGAATATCCTGGAAAGATAAAAAATCAGATGAGACAGTCATCCACGAGAGAGATGAAAACCTGAATGTGATTGGTGCAATTATATGTGATTAGTCTGTGTTTTTCAGACATGTTATGAGAAGGAGAACTCAAGAACATGGTAGTGTTCTTCTTCTTTTGTTTACCCAAAATAGATTATCTATAATTGCAATGTTGTTTCTAGTATGAAGTTTGCTGTCTTTTGTAATTCGCTCAGCGACTCGTGATGTTTGGCTTAAACCGGTGTTTCTCTTGGCCAGAAGTCTTGCCTTGATATGTTACATTTAGGACTGTCTTGGAGGATGTGATCTGTTGTCTCAGGTGCCAGTCGTCCACATGTGTAATTTGCTAATTCGCCAGTCATAGATTTTGTGTACATATGGCTGTGAAGGCAGTGGATTGAGCCATTGCAGAAGTCCACTGTGAGTAACATCGTCTTTATCTTCGTTCCGGCGTACGCGGGAGTCGATGGAAACCAAAGGGCTGATAAGCTGGCTGGATCGGCTATCACTGCTGAAGGTCAACCAATCGATCATGCTGATGTTGTTAATGCCCTCAGAGAAGTGGGAAGGGTGGAGGACTTTCGAGACAACGATTCCACATCGCTCACCAGAATGAGAGACTCTGGAGATAAGATCGACATAGCCAAAAGCAATAGACACACCGGGCTTACAAAAAGACTTATCTATCAACAAAGAACTGGCACTATTAGCCACAGGACCCTGGGTTCATACTGAGGGAAAGATCTCAGCACTTATAGACATGTCCAGAGTGCAATGATCATATCCCAACTAACTAACTAACCCACATGTTTTTTCCATAGGGATGGGATAAAATATAACACTGACCTGATCTGTGATTCTAGTTATCAGGTGAAATGGCGAAACATGACAGCCTGGGCTTATCAGCACATCACATGATGATGATCTTTTCATGCATGATCATAGTCTGATAACACCCTCTGCCATTGTGGCATCAAATACTTGAACTGATTTGTGATTCTCTTATGGCTGTCAAGTCTAGCCACTCCAATGAAAGAGTTGTGAATCTCCCGAGAACTACTTTTTCTATCTCACTGACTCCAACTTGTCCAGCGGACTTATCATCCAACACAGTTTGGCATAATATTTTATAGTTATGGCCCTCATTTTTTCTTACTAGTATTTATTTCCAGTGGTCACACACGTGTCAGAGATTCAGCAGGCCAGACGAGGATGCGATTCCTTTCGGATTGTGTGTTTCTTGTTGTGTTTGTGGTCTCGTATATTCATGTAATGTGCTGATGAAGGCTCTCTGGCTCCAATGTTCATTTTTCCATTTGTTAGTCACTGTGTGTGATAATGAGAAGCTAGCTGGTTCTACTTTCCATTTGGTTTGATAGGTGTTCATTATGTCGGATCGGTTTCCTTCACCCCCGTCGGTCAGATGCATTAGAATTGATGTTTGCATAAAAAAGTCCTACACAGTCAGAAAATTCTGTCTCCGTGCCTTTCTTGGCCTGCCTCTTCTCTATTTCCTTTCTACCGAGCCCTGTAGTATCATTCTGGAGCGGCCATCAGATCTTGCACCACTGCATTTTCAATCTCTTCAATGTCATTAAAATAGGTTCATGGTTGCCAGTTATCTGAGACGGAAGGCGTGGTCCTTTGTAACCAGCATGTCGACCAAGTAGAGTAAGAAAAATCAGATTTATGTCAACCGTGTGCGTCACAGGCAGTATTTCAACCCTGACAGACCCCAGCCTCTCCAGCAGGGGCACAAAACACAAAAATGTGTCTTCTTAAAATTAAACGGTTCTTTATTTTCAGGCGACCACAAAGGACGTCACGGGACAGTCCAATATTTCAGAGGGCGGTAAGACCATGATTTTCCTGAGAAATGCTATATTACAAAACTATACACCTAATGTACCACCCCCTAAAATATTGGACTGTCCCATGACCTGTGGATTTCCACTGTTTGTGGTCAGCTAAAAATAATTGTGTGTGTGTGTGTATACATATACCCACAAAAATTGTCCGCCCCGGGAACCATCTGGACTTGTTACACCCCTGCTCTCCGGATGGACATTTGCTGGCTAGCCTGTAGTCACTCCATGCGGATTTATTATTGACCACTCCGCGCCATGTTTCCATGCCTCACATGCCTCGTCCCATATGTGGACGAGATTGTATTCGCATTATTTAATTAGTGGCTTTTGCCTGGGGAATCCAAATATAACCTAACGGAACCATTGAAATTCTGAACTCGGGACTTACATGTTTCTTTTTCGTTTTTCAAGCCTTTCCACGGGTGATTCTCATCCGCAAGGTAGCACTTTGTGTCACCGGGTGTTTATCGCTCTGTGTGATGTCCTGGTGAGGTACTACTTGCTTACTTACTTACATCATTTAGTATTTTTTAGATGGTTTAAAAAAAGGGTTAATCAATCGGTAATTTAGACGACCCAGTTTTAACCCAATAGCAGTTTAGAAGTTGAAAGTCTGAACCCATTAGGTGATTTTATTTGGCTAAAATTCTGAATCGATTAATATTTTAAGTGGTCAAAAAGGCTAACCCATTGATAATTTAGATGGCAAATGTCCGAATCCATTACTAATTTTAGATGGCCAAAAAAAGTATGAATCTATCAGTAATTTATCTTACATGAAATTAGTCTTCCTTGTCCTAACTTGAACAGTATTTTGTTTTACTTTTGAGCTACTAAATCTCGTAAACGGTAAACCTAATGATGTTCTCCTATACATAAAAACACAGATCCAGACAGAAAAGAGCAGCTACTAGGTGCAAATCCGTGCATTCTAAGGAGAATTCATTTAAACAGACAACCACCGTCATCTTGCACACTAACACACACACACACACACACACACACACACACACACGCGCGCGTTCATACACCATACAAACTGAAAATAAATATATCATAGGTAATATAGGATAAAAAATCAAGGATCACTGTGTCTTTAAAAAAAAAACTAACTCACGAAGAGAACTGATTAACAACATGAGAAGGAGACAATCTACATTCTTTGGTAACACCTCCCCCTTTAAAATACACCATCAAGCTCAACGGGCATTCCCATTTTTATGAGGCTGGCGTGGCCGGACAGAGCTCACCATCGTTATCACATATTGAGCTACAGTTTAATTAATTTGCAACGTGTGTTATTGAATGAATTTTCATTTTGAAAGTAAAACACGTTGCGAATTAATTAAACTGTAGTTCAATTTGTGTATAAATCTACTCGATAACAATGGTGAGCCCTAACTGGCCATGCCAGCCTCACAAAAACGGGAATGCCCGTTTGAGCTTGATGACCTTTCTGCTGGAGCCGTGGAAAGATAAGCTGGAGTACACCGTGACGGTAAGAAAGTTTGAAGGAGAGAGAGAGAGACCAAGAGAGAAGACACTGGACAGTTGGACATCATGGCATGGAATATCATCTGTGTCCGAAATGACTGTAAATACACGAGACAGACGTGACTACCAACGCCACACGGCATGGACCACAGTAACGTTCAAAAACTGATCTGTGCATTTTCTACAATATTGGTTAATGAAGTGCACTTTTATGTTTATCAGTGATTCCATACTTTTGGGTCATTGTGTTCTTTTTGGTGCATGTTTCTTATGTCAACGCCTTCACCAGTAGTGAAACGTGTACACAAATCTAAAATTCTGCAATAAGACCTCAAAAATCCAGAAGTGGACGAACAGTCAGTATGGTCTGTCAGAGTTTACAGCAGGTGGACGTGAAGAACAAAAATGTTTACTGCAAGAACTGCCTAACATCCTAGTCGCTTCTGGATCTATTGGTAGCTTGTTTTCCTGCTTAAGATTATGTAGGTATAAATGTCTGACAGCTAGCGGGACTTGTCTTTCTTAATCCTTGGCAGATTTGGTTTGGGTTTTCACTGCACCCCCTTCCATAGGATTGAGAGGTGCTGGGTGTGTTTCACCCCGCCACATGGGCTCTACATACCCGTAGCGATTGAGCAGTGTGTCTACGCTACCGAGACCTCGCATGGCAAACTCCCAGGCGTCTTTTCCGTGCACTTTGAACGGGCGGGTGTAAAAAGAATAGCTACCGGTTACTTCAGGTTTTGAATTCTTTGTTTTTGATAGGGGTGGGTTGATCAAAGCTCGCTTGGGTAGCCAGGCATTGTCGACAACATACTTTGTTTCCTGATGCTCCGTGTCGGTGATTATTGACTTCTTTTTCTGGTTGTCTGTATCGCTGCCTTCACCTTTGTCCTTCATTCTGACCTCAAAATGTTTCTTGTCTATCAACTCCTTCATGATGTCATCTGGGTTGTAGGTAACTGAGGCCTCGAAGACTCCGGGCGTTGTAGTCCTTCCGTGAGCTGCTAGCAGACGCCGGAAGGTGTTTGGGGACATTGTCGTGTCACTGGAATTCATCTTGGACCTCTGGGTGTCCGTTTGGAAAGTGCCACTGTCTTCACAGATCTGAAAGTGTTAATTGTATTCATTGCTTCAAAATATCCAACAGTTTGTTTAATAATACGTATTTCTCATGACAACCTTCACATCGTTACTCCACATCATCTGGAACTTAGCTACACTGATTTCCTAGTGAATTTCAAACTATTCCCCGATTATTCACGGAGGGAAGGGCGAGGGAGGTTGGTTCAGCCGCATTATAATTTTCTAAAAACATGGAGGGGTTTCAGCCTCATATAAGTGAGCATTATTATTAAATCTCCCTATGTGGGTTCTGAGGTCCAGTTGGGGGGGGGGGGCAAGAATAGACCCACTGCTTCCCCAACAAGCATGTCGTAGGTGCCAACAAATTAGGGGCATCCTTCGGAGTCAGAGGTCACCTGCCTGAGACTCAAAAAACCAAGAGTCTGCAAACAAATAAGCCAGAGGTGTAAAATGGATATGCTCACACCACTCAGGCTCTGGAACAAGACTAAAGTCCGGAGGTGGACGAACACACAGAACTTTCCGCTGAAGTTTACAGCCAGTGAATTCGAAGAAGAAGAAGATTTATTATTATTATTATTGCTGAAAGGCAAATAAATATAATAATATTACACATACAAATACCGACCAAAATGAGAACATCTATCTATACATAGCTACTGGGACCCCTTAACTCCCTTGCGAATTTTCTGTGTGGGCTCGACCCCTACAATTTATTGAGATGGGAGAAGGGGGGGGGAGGTCGGGGGTTCTCAAGGTGCCTGAGCACCCAGGTTTCAGCGCCACTGATCCTCATCTTTAATTTTCCCAGACTTGAGTAAGCACTAGCACCGTGACACATTCACATCATTAGACAGATCAAATCTAGACTTGAGTGAGCACTAGCACCGTCACATCATTAGGCAGATCAAACCCAGATTTGAGTGAGCACTTGCACCGTGACACATTCACATCTTTAGGCAGATCAAACCCAGATTTGAGTGAGCACTTGCACCGTGACACTTTCACATCTTTAGGCAGATCAAACCCAGATTTGAGTGAGCACTAACACCGTGACACATTCACATCTTTAGGCAGATCAAACCCAGATTTGAGTGAGCACTAGCACCGTGACACATTCACATCTTTAGGCAGATAAAACCCAGATTTGAGTGAGCACTAACATCGTCACATCTTTAGGCAGATTAAACCCAGACTTGAGTGAGCACTAGTACCGTCACATAATTAGACAGATCAAACCCAGACTTGAGTGAGCACTAGTACCGTCACATCATTAGACAGATCCAACCCAGACTTGAGTGAGCACTAGCACTGTCACATTATTAGACAGATCAAACCCAGACTTGAGTGTGCACTAGCACTGTCACATCATTAGACAGATCAAACCCAGACTTGAGTGAGCACTAGTACCGTCACATCATTAGACAGATCCAACCCAGACTTGAGTGAGCACTAGCACTGTCACATTATTAGACAGATCAAACCCAGACTTGAGTGAGCACTAGCACTGTCACATTATTAGACAGATCCAACCCAGACTTGAGTGAGCACTAGTACCGTCACATCATTCACAGATCAAACCCAGACTTGAGTGAGCACTAGCACTGTCACATTATTAGACAGATCAAACCCAGACTTGAGTGAGCACTAGCACTGTCACAGCCAGACTTGAGATTTTCCTTAGCCCCTTAAACATTCTCTGGCGGGTGGTGCAGTTTTTAACATCTGGGGCTTTCAAGCCCCCAGGTGCAAACATTCTCTGACTCAAGGAAAGGGGGAAGAAGTAGATGTGTCTGCGCCTTGTTTAAATGTGTTATTTTGATAATAATAATGATAATAATAATGTTCTGAGAGACATGACATTAAGAATAATATGACTTCTACTAAATAAATAATATACACACAAGCGAATTTCTACACATAAATATGGGGTAGGGGTGAGGGCTTATCTATCTCACAAATGTTTTGGGTGGGCTTAGGGGCGGGGGAGCAGCACTAAAGTATCTGAATGGGACTCCTCAGATGTCAACCTAGCAACAGCAAATCAGATACAATATACTGAGATGGGATGCCTTGGGAAATACGCCAGTATAACTTTAGCAGAACAGAGTGTGAAATGATACTGTCGGAGAGGGTGTGAACATAGCGTCTTGTGTCAAATACATTGACAAGCAGAAGCTGCAGTGGTTGGGGTATCTATCTAGAGTGCAGCAATACCCGTTACCAACACAGACGAACATCTCCGCAGATCTGATACGAGAGGAAGAGGGCGCGCACAAAGAGACTGGCGACATTAAAGACATTGTTCATCCATACTAAAGTGAAACAGCTAGATATTGTATCTCCCCAATTATTTTGCATAGCTATTGAATCAATCACTACTGGACGTAAATTTGTCTAGAGAAACCACACAACAGCCAGGAGCTGCTGGGGTTGGTTCTGCAACGTCCTGTAAAGGATACGCAACTAACTAACCTTATTGAATCAATCTTCCCGTGTGGGTTTCGGGGCTCTATTATAGGGAAAACAAGAATAGACCCAATGCCTACTCAAAAGCACGTCGTAAGAGTTGACTAATTGGAAGCTTCCTTCGAAGTCGGATTGCATCTGCCTGAGAGGCAAGGAACCAGCAGTCTGCATACAAATGAGTCAGATCTGTAAACCGGATGCACGCGCAACACTCAGGTTCTGGAACAGGACTGCAGTTCAGAAGTGGATGAACAACCAGAACTTTCCTCTGAAGTTTACAACTGGTGAATGCGAAGAAGAAGAAGATGAAGAAGAAGAAGAAGAAGAAGAAAAAGAAGAAAAAGAAGTTTACTTATTTAGTTAATTAACCCACCAAGAGACTCAGACATAAAAACTATCTAGTATCCAAGAAAAGTGGCTGGATACATACACCAAATTCTCTCCACAAGATTCGCTTAATCGCCTCTCTAGAGATGCACAGTGTTTTATATTCAGACTAAGGACATGGCACAACAGACTTTGTCAACATATGTTCAAACTTTTCGGTGTAGGAAACACTGAGACACCAGAAAATTCAGAGCATGTGCTCCAACACTGTCAACTATATGCTGACAACAGAGACGCAATCTGGCCTGTTCAAACCACAATGAAGACAAAACTAACTAGTACACTAGAAAATATGGACTGCACGATAGCTTTCAAAAACACTACCGGCCTCCTGATATAATTTTTATGACATAAGGATCGAAGAAAAAAGTTTACTTTTTAAATAAAATATGGAAAGTATATTTATAGTTTTAGAACCAACTCACGTATTTTCAATTCTAATGTTATTTTAGTTTTAACATGTGCCAGTGAGAGTTGGAGAGCCACTAAAGACATGGAACGAAAGTTAAATCATTCGAAAACAGATGCCAGAGGAAAATTGTGAACATAAAATGGGACGAATTTAAGAGGGGTGAAGAAATTAGACAGAGAAAATGGCGCTATACTGCTGACATTCTGAGAACAGACGAACTGGGAATTACAAAACAGGCACTAAGATGGGAAACTAGGACTTAGAGAAGCCAAAAATGTGGATTGGATTCGATCCATGATATCGAAGTGATTGCATAGGATAGAAGGGAATGGAGGAATAGACTGAGAGCCCTGAGTGACATATCATGGCCCAATAGGACAATGAATGAATGAACATCCATGGGGAATAACAAAGCCAGGGGAAGTGCAGACACACAAAAAAATTGTTGAGAGGGCGGGTGGGGTAACTAATCCCTTAAAACTCGTCTAGGTGGAGCATCAGGGGGCTATGTCTACGTGCATATACAGTGTATATAAGATAACTTGGCTCTCCTGTCAAATCCGGACGAAGAATTAAAAAGCCTTGGACGACTTAGTCAGAGTTCTCTCCCTTGGCCGCACTCCAAACAGTGATCGGAAAACAAACGAAACAAACGACACACTTACCTATCATCCTGCGGTTGCGTGCAGGGTTGCGTACGGTTGCGTGGGGCATTGTGAATGGTTGTGTAGTCATCATCATGCGGTTGTTAGATTAGAGTTAGGGGTAGGGTTAGGGGTAGGGTTAGGGGTAGGGTTAGGGTTAGAGGTAGGGTTAGGGGTAGGGTTAGGGTTAGGGTTAGGGTTATTGGTAGGGTTAGGGTTAGATGTGAAAATTTTGACGTAGGATTTCGAAATACTGGCCGACATTATGATGTTTGTGGGAGTGGTGCCACTGAAATTCTGCCAAATATGACGCCAATAGCGTGCGGCTGGTGCCCCCCAATCGTTGGCGAATTGTGCGTTTGACCAGCATCCAGAGGCCCTCGATTGTTTGTGTGTGTGTATGGGACTGTGCGCGATTATAGGGAACTCCGGCGTCAAAATTGTCAAATCTAACGCTAAACCTAACCCTACCGCTAACCCTAATCCTAATCCTACTCCCTAACCCTAACCCCTACCTCCCTAACCATGCAAATTTATCGATCATTAAAGCATACAAATCGGCAAACACCAACAAACAAAACATACCCAAAAAAAAAAACACCCAGAATTGTCCTGCAGCGTCGAAAAAAAAAACCCAGATCTGAGGGAAACAACCAAGCATTGGCAGCCCTGATGTCGACGTGACTGTCTTCTTTGTTTCGTTGTGGCTTTTCCGATCACTGTTCGCAGTGCGGCCACGGGAGAGAACTCTGACTAAGTCGTCCAAGGCTTTTAATTCTTCCTCCGGATTTGACATGAGTACCGATAACTTTTATACGTGGTCGGAGGGGGGGGGGGGGGGGGGGGGGGGGTGTGCTTCGTCCCTTTCACATGGGGGGGGGGGGGTGGGTTGTTCAAAGGGTTTAACAGCCGGTGCTATTGATATGTGCCACCCATTAGATCTCTTGGGGAGGCTTAGTGGCAAAAATTGGACGACGATGATGATGATCGGGATATCTGGCCGACACTCAAGGGAAAGGCGAGATGGATATACAGTCAGTTACTGGTGCCATCGGAATTGGAACTCTTCTTTTGCTTCTGAAGATGGGAACGGAGCGCTAATGGGAGGGTCCTGAGTGCAACGATGTCAATAACAATTCGTAATTTAACATTGAACATTCAACGATGATGATGATGAATCGTACTAAAGCGAACCTACCTTTTATACACACTCTTGGATTGTATGCAGCCAGCAGTTTTATAATCACACATGTACGTGTGCAATCTTTTTAAATATTCAATGCCAGAATCTGTTTTTTTCTTTTTGTTTTACAAATGTAAAAAATGGATGGTGAGTAATGTGGCTGGCTTTGGCCTAATACGTCATCGTTTCCAGGATGCACGTCATGATCGTCTGCAATAGAGGCAGGGGAAGTAAACATCCCATAGTTTATAATCATCATCGTCAACTGATTATTAGTTTTAGGATCTACATCATAAAACACCAGGCATACCCACAGATGCTCTGTCTCCAGTAGCGAATATCTTTTAATGTGTAAATAATAACTCTTCCTGTATCAGACTAATCATGCACACGTCGTTCTCTTCCTCTCATCCCGTCCCTTCTTGCCAGATCCGCTCATAATTCCACTTTCACAAATTCTTACACAAGTTATTTCATCTAATCTCCTTTCTTCTTTCAACAGTCGTTCATGTATGGTCTTTAGAGTAGCTCCTTTATCCAGTACGAATGCTCCCGTAGCTATTGCTTTAGTAGCCAGAAAATCCGCTCTTTCATTCCCTTGCACTCCTGCATATCCCGGACAGTCATCATTATCACCGATTAATCAGTAAATCGTGTGCCACCTCAACAGTGCAGTTTGGCTACAATAGATCCCTACCTCTGACGGTCAGCATGGGTTTAAACTCTCAGATAATGCTGTTCGTCTATCGTTTTATGTTATATATCCTATTCTATTCTAAGTTGTACCCCACCAGGACATCACACAAAGACATTCGGTGACACAAAGTGCAGGTGTACTGGGAAACTAACAGGCAGACAATTGACTGATTTTTGCACCACTTGGTGGTAAAATGATGCTGAAAGTTAAAGTGGGGAGGATCGACTTCATTACACTGGGTTTTTATCCCATATGGCTTGGCCTCTCTTCGCATAACAGCTAGGCGCCCCACCGTAAGCGTCGCACAAAGTACAAACTCCATAGCTCCAGCGACGATCCTCAAGAGTCTCTGTAAAAATTTCGCTATTGAACTAAACAATGCAGCCGTAAAAAGAATCCATGGCCTTCCAAACAAACGGCTTGACTTCTTAGAAGGTAGATAGATGCATAACGACCAGCTAGATATTGTCAAGGCCCTTTGGGAGCGAGCGAATTGTGTGGATTTACAACTAGATCACCCCGGCCTGAAGGGAATAGTACAGCAGGCAGTGACCAGGCGATCTCAACATTCAAGTGAACATGAAAGACGGATCTACAATCAGATTGCTGACGGTACCACCAAATGGAACTCTACGCTGGCTGCTGAAGATGGGGACGAAACGCTTATGAGAACGTACCGAGGGCTGTGATGTCTTTTTTTTAAAAACCCAGCTAAACCCGATTTTTTCGTATTCTAATCTCTACAGGGCATAGTGTGACCGTTTTTAATTCACATCCTTCCTGGGTTATGAATCGATATTAAAGCACATTGGGCATACCCATAGGGAGAGGGTAGGAAGGGGAGGGTCATTCCTAGAAAAAGCAAATGGAGGATTATTCATGCAACCAGCCCGGCATATGGCATCAGTCACGTCTAGTTTGAGAGTAGAGGTAGTGATAGTCACTGCAACACTTCCGCTGCTCAAGAACCAGCTGCAGACACACCTGTCGTGATTGTAACAATTATCGTGAGTTAGTTATAATCACGATATGTGTGTCTCCCGTAGTTAACTGTTCTCGTAGCACACTGATTATAAAATCCGTTCCGTTACTCTGCTTGAACAACAACAACAAATAATAATAATTTTCAACCAGTATTCCCAAAACATACATCCAGTTTTAACATATGGATGTGAATCCTGGACAATCGGTAGGCAGGCCAAACAATTTTTAGAGGCCTCAGAGATGTGGTTTTACAGAAGAATGCTTAGAATACCCTGGACAGCGAAAAAGAACAACCAAGAGGTTTTGAAAGAGGCGGGAGCCCGAAGACAACTTATCACAGACATCAGAAGGAGACAGTCATCATTTTTCGGCCATGTTATGAGAAGAGGGAAAATAGAACATGCTGTGACCACTGGAAAGATCTGTGGAAGGAGGGATAGAGGAAGACAACGAGAGAAGATGCTTGACAGTCTTGTTGCATGGCATGGAGGTGTGTCGGCACACGAACTGATACATGCTGCAGGAGATTGCAGATTATGGAGAGGCATGATCGCCCACGCCAGTCGGAAAGGCACCTGATGATAAAGATGATGATGATTCCCAAAAGGGAGCTTACATTATAATTGTGACTAGGTTATGTGCACCATATAACGCGGACTGGTCTTGCTAGTCACACTCGCCATCGCCATGGGCTGTGAGTTCTATGCCTCCTTATAGTGCAATGTAAAACTATCGTCTGGAGAGACGGAAAGGTGCCAATCATAACATGGATTAGCATTGCTCGCCACCAAGTAGCTCCGAAAAGAACTTATCCAGTGTTTAATGAGATCACAGGAGACAAACCCAAATACTGTCCTGACCAGCGCCCGGTCGCCGATGTGTTGCAGGGCATAGTGCGTCAGTTTTTATTCACACCCTAGCTGATTTAAGAATCGGCAGCACAACACACCAGACATATCCATTCGTGCCCCGTCTCCCGCAGCAAATATCTTTGGGAGTAGATGCTAACTGTTCTCGTAGCAGACTGGTTATAAACTTGTTCTCTTCCTCTCATACGTCCCTCCTTGCCTGGTCCACACCCATCACCAATATCGAGCAAAGACTACTAATACTTCTATTCTACGGTCTGGTCCTTTCCCCCATTGAATACGCTCTGGCCATCCTCACTGTTAGCGCTACCCAGATTGAACGACTCGAAAAAATGCAAAATGAAGCCACTCTGCAAAAGAACAAGGTCTCAACCAAAACAGCCATGGTTGCACTGTAGCTAGCTAACCTTTATTAAAGAAGCCGTGCATACATTCTTACTGTGTTGAGTTAAAGAACCGACAAAGCAGTACTCGGGACACTCCCTCAAACGCCCCGTCCCTATCTTCAGCAGCCAGCACAGATAATTCTTGTTTGAGGCAGCAGTTTATTCATTAACAGCGTTACGTCCCCTAGGTCACGTGATGTTTACGTTCACGGAAGAAAATTCCAGACAGAGAACAAGAAGCGACAGTTGAATCTTACAGAACATATTTCCTCAACATACGGCGATTGTTTTATTATAGATGGCAGCCGGTGGTTTTGATATCGCTAAAGCAGGTTGGCTGTACAGACAAAGTAAGTTGGAACGGGTTGTAACTTGTGATGAATCGATTACATTATCATTAATAATATATTATATTGTAAATAATTAAATTTAATTATGAATTATTATTATTATTATTACCGTCGACGTCAGATTATTTAATTTAATTAAACTAATTAATTAAATTATATAGTTTAACCAAGTAATATTTCCGTTGCTATATAACTGTGCCTGTGGACATCTCAATTTCGAAGTCTTCTCATTCTTTTTTTTTTTTTTTTCATTCACGCTCAAATGAGTCAGATCTGTCAAACGGATGCAGTGATGCACACGCTACACTCAGGTTCTGGACAGGAGTGGATGAACAACCAGAACTTTCCGCCAGAGTTTACAGCTGGTGAACGCGAAGAAGAAGAAGAAGTATCCACGCTTAAAATTGCGATTGGCAGGGACATTGTATCTGTTGTGACAGTCACGACAATGTTGTCTGTCGTTTCACAGCTTTAGACAGTGCGCAGTATTTTTTTAAGTATGACATCTGCGTCATTTGGTCCCCACACAGAAATACCTCTAAATGGTAGCCTTGTACGACATGCTTATTTTGTTTGTATATGTGGATTTTTTTTTGTTTTGTTAGCTCACTATTATTCGAGTTTCTGTTTGGCTATCCATTGTTCGTCCAGTCTCCACAGTAGTCCCACCAGCAAGCCTATCAGTTCGTTTATTTCCTTGCAACCCTTATTTGAAATATTTGGACTCATTTTCTTTCAGCATTGATCTGTTCAGAGTTAGTCACTCATCAAACCTATCTTATCTTGAATATTCTAAGCATGCTTTCCAAGACGCTGTGTGAAGAGCTTGTTTCCTACGCAACGGTGCATGCATAGTGTCAGCATTTTAAAAAAATAATAATAATTAAAACATTTTTTTTAAATTACTGCTGTAGTAGACACTTTCTCATGATTGCTGAAACTTTTTTTTGCGCGCTACTGGAGCAAACCGACCAAAAAGACGAAGCTGCAATAATAGGGTTTAAGATGAAACTGTCGATGCTGTGCGAGAACACTGTGATAGGCACTGATTTCATAGTCACTGCAGATACCTTAAGAACTTGCCTCAAGAAATCGCGCAACACTGCTCCAGGCCCTGACGGCATCTGATACAACAACATGCTGATGATGTCAAATGCTGATATGAAAAGCGTGGCAAAGGAATTCAATATCAGCATCCAGAGTGGTCAGATACAAGAGGAATGGCTCCATAGTTATTTGTTCCCACTACCAAAGCCGAATAAAGACCACTCAAAGATCTGCGGCTACAGAATCATCTCAATGCAGAATACTGTTGGCAAACTTTTGGAAAATATTGTCGCACAAAGATTGACAACCTACTTGGAACTACATGATAAGTTCCCATCAACACTTGGAGGGTACAGGTTGAATAAAGAGACATGGTTCAATGCTGCAGTTTTCGCCTACGATGTGTACGAGGGATTTCAGATTAAAGAAGAGACATGTGCGGCAGTGTTGGACTTAGAAGATGCCTACAATAAAGTACCATATGATTATTTAATGCAATTACTGCTTAAACTAGAAGTAAATCCTATTCTGATCAGCTGGATTGCTGCGGTCCTGTTCCAGAGAAAGGTTGTACTTAGATGTGGTAGCTGGTCCTCAGAACCGCAAACGATATGTCCAGGCTTGCCACAGGGATCACCGCTATCACCAGTCTTATTCATTGTTTATACAGTGATGATCACTGAGCAGCAGTTGAATGGAAAGGGAAGGACTTTGTCATTTGCTGATGACATTTTGATTTATCGACGAGGACGTGATAGACAGGAGATCGCTAGCACAATGCACAAAGAACTCGATCGAATTGCAGCCTGGTGTGATGGTTCCAATGCCTATGTCAATCCTTCGAAGGCATCAGTGTCATGGTTCTCTTTGAACAATCACATTGTCAAGTCGGACTTACCAGAAGTGAAAATGGGTGATAATGTATTGATCCGAACCAACGTTATGACGTCTCTCGGGGTGAGGTTCGATCGCAGCTTGTCATTCAGGGAACACGTTGACCATGTGATAACAAAAGCACGCAAAGGTCTATCTGCAATGAGGTTTATGGCTGCTTCCAATATCGAGCAAAGACTACTAATACTTCTATTCTACGGTCTGGTCCTTTCCCCCATTGAATACGCTCTGGCCATCCTCACTGTCAGTGCTACCCAGATTGAACGACTCGAAAAAATGCAAAATGAAGCCATGCGCATTATTTTGGGATGTACAAGAGACACATAATGTGGAGCAATGAGGTATTTACTTGATCTGAGCACCTATGGACATGTCCGGAGTGCAATGATGATAACCCAACTAACTAACTAATAACTAACTAACTAACTTTTTTTTTTTTAAGTTAGGCACTTAGTTATAAGTCACTGTCACTACTGTCTGTATTGAACACTTTTTATAGCGTCAGGAATTAGGGCAACATGGTTAGTGCTGCCACTATGGACTGCAGGTTAGGATGTTTTTTTGTGTGCCTGTGACAGAAAAGCTCTATCACCTTACCTGCGGTCCAACCCCCGGTCTCCCTGTGTGTGCCATCTTTTTTCTAGAAAGGATTGTGGATACCCTTTTTGTCCCTAGAAAAGAGCCCTGGCTGTGTGTAATAGAATGTTAGGCTTCCGAATAATGGCCCAAATTATCGAGGCCGAAAATATACCCTAACAGGGCCTCAGTCATATGTAAATGGGACTTCCGGAGACATAAATTTGCGCAAATCGGGCAACTGCCGCCACCGCCGAGAGTATCTCCCACACTGCTACGCGCGGCGTGGATTGGGGCTAAACTAGATGGCTAAGACTCACGAGCAGCAGCTACCGCATCTCCTGCAGCTTCCTTAATTTTTTTTTTGCTCGTGAGTCCCAGCCATCTAGTTTAGTTCCACTCCACACCGCGCACAGCAGCATGGGAGATACTCGCGGCGGCGCCGGAAGTCCGCAATTTACATTGACTGAGGCCATGTTAGGGTCTATTTGGGGCCGTTATTCGGAAGATAGCCGAATGTTAATCTGGTGCTGTCTTTATCTTCACTGTTGCCTTTCTGCAGGTTCAGTATTACACAGATGGAAAAAGAATTGGTTCGTACTTGACCGTCAAGGAGATCTGCGCTACTTTGAGAATCCTGATCACCCCAGAGCTGAGGAGAGGATTGTTGTACGTGCTGCAGTCGTGGCAATTAAAGCTGGCTATGAGGTAAGGTTATTTTCTCGACAAGGTTATTTTCCTATCTATTTCTCAGCAGTGGCTATGGTTGTGTTATGAAAAGCTGGCTTTGAGAAAAGTTTTTTTTTTTTACCCCTTCTGTTAGCTTCGCTTGTGGTAATTAAAGCAAGCTATGAGGTAATTTTTTTTAAAATAAGGTTATTTCTCAACCCCTTCCGTCAGCTGTGGTTGTGGGAATTGAAGCAGGCTTTTTTCGCAAAGAGGTTATTTTCTCAGTGAGGTTATTTTCACTTCTTCTTCTGTCAGCTACAGTTGTGGTCATTAACTCTTTAAGGCCCAAACAAAGGTGTGAGCGTTGTTTGAGAAGTTCCGTTCTGCCCAAACAACGGTGTCATCGTTAATTGTGTATCTCTTACATTTTGCTTCGCACGCGCGTTCGTACTAGTTTCTAATGTTTGGAGGTACGAATAAAATATTCAGGGAAAGTCACTCTGTCGAAATCCTTTTAGTTTCACTTCTTGGACTAAACCACACGTGGATAATTTGAGAGAAAAAAACATCAAAATTTTTTTAGCAGTTTATTTTCTAAGTTCGCTTTTGAGTGCACTGAATACCAATGTTCTAACTACAAGAACAGGTCGCAGAATGCGTCTTTCTGCGGCCGAAGCTCTGAAATTGTTTCAATCAGATGTTTTTAATTGTGAAAATGATAATAAAAATTTAGATTTTTTGGAAAGTGATTCAGACAGTGAATTTTCACCAGTGAAGCTGAGCTATCAGCTGTTCGGAATCTAGCGATTCTGACGAGTTTATTACACAGACAATGTCCCATACTACCGTATTTATGATGTAAGAGAAGGAAAGTGCTCTAAACAAAGAGATAGTACTATACTATGGCTAAGCTACATTGAAATCATCGCAGCTACAGTCTGTAAATAACTGTACAAAGTGAATAGTAAATAGTGTGTGTGTTATGGCTCATTTTTTCTGCCATTTTTTCTCTGAAATTTTGCTTAGAACTCGGTGGGAACTAAGAGCCCCTGAGTGATAAACTTTAGAATATGTTAGGAAATTGAACAAACTTTGAAGTTTTGTTCTCAAATTTGGATATTTACTATTCTTGTGGCTGCAAAACCATGGTAAGTGAAGAATTTGTTAGTGAAATGTTGTCCTTGTGAAATTAACACCTGCTGAATTCTTCCTTTCCACTAACTATAACAAAATTAAACAAACACTTATCATCAGATTCAGAATGTACACTCATTTTTCGTTTAAAAAATATATACTTTTATAGGGATTAGAAGTATATTACAATCTCTACAGCCTTTCTTGTACACCCACCCCCTGCCATTTTTGTAAAGGAAAATTAATGTGGGCCAAGTCTGCCAAAATTCATGGGCCTGAAAGAGTTAAAGTAGACTACGATGTAAGGTTTATTTTTCTCACCTCCTTCTTTCAGCTCTGGTTATGGCTGTTGAAGCAGGCTAGGAGGTAAGGTTATTTTTCCAACTCCTTCTCCAGACGAGTTACTGTGTGCGTTTTTTTTTCTGTCCTTAGTTTTCGTAGTTCCAGCTTAACCTCAAGTAAGTCACTCCATGATTGCTTCATTCAACTACCAGTAAAAACCACACAGATGGCCATCGCTTCCCATTGTAAAGAAAATTTAACAGACTACAGTCTTGGCAAAGTCAGTAGCTTACACAGGCAGCAGCGCATAAAACACCCATGAGAAATGCAATTATACGAAAGACAGCACCAGTTCTGCGGCTGATATTTTTAAAATTTAAACTTGTGCAGTGGATGTTGCCCGCAATGTGTCCCACTGAAAATCATGTTAATATTATGTGTTAAGCCAATTTCTTCCATTGTATGCACCTCTTTTACCAGCTGTCTGAAATCCACAAGAATGGTGTAAATATACAAATAGCTCAAACACAAGCAACATTTTACTGAATGAAGCATGTTCTGCTCAGTCTGTGTCGGCTGAGGTGGGAAAGAGTTCATAAGAGCTCTAGAGAGCAAGCTAATGGAGCAGTGATGTGCAATAGAAGACTTTTAATGCTTCTCAAAATCTCTTGCTCCAAGTTACCCCACCTTCATGTGGTGGACCCTGTTTACCCAGTAATCCAGGGAAAGGTTGGGGTTTCAACCCCACAGCGAGAAACTGAAAAAAGATCAAAGCAAAATCTGGTTCTGTGGACCAGCTACTGAGTTGAGTTGTGGTGCGACACTGTGAGCTGCGCATGTCATGGGGAATACTTATTGCCTGAGATGGGCAGGCATCATTAAAATGTCTCCACAGTATTATTTCACAAAGAGTGATGAAATGTTCTCAGACATTGCATTTAAGGAGTTATGGAAATTATTTGTTTATTGTATTTTCTGATTTGTCTCTTGTTGAACTCTGTTGAATATGCTTCTATTCTGACCATCTGAGATGCCTCCACTCTGCAACGACGAGATAAATTAACAGCTGTGTACATGACGTCCCATCTATCAGAACCAATGCTTAACACTTTCAGTGAAATCTTGAGATTGCCCTTGAAACATTAATTTTGTTCACATTGGGAACATTTTTCCTTTTATTTTAGGTTTGTAGTTCGCGATATATTACATATTGGATAAGGCCTTCCCTGTGTGGGTTCCAGAACCTCATTTTGGGGTTGAAGAATAATGGACCGTCGTTCCCCCCTAACAAGCATGTCATAGAAGGTGATTCATTAGGTGTGTTTCCTTCAAAGTCTAAGTGCGTCAGCCTGAGAGGCGTGGAACCAACAGTTTGCTCACTGATACGCTATATCTGTAAAGAGCTGTGCACACAAAAGTCAAGTTCTGGAACTAGACCAAAATCCAGAAGTGGACGAACAACCAGAAATTTATGCTAGAGTTTAGAGAGGCTACCAAGGAGGAGATAAGACCCAGTGCAGTGTCAGTCATTCCAGCTTTAAAGTTTAAACATTACATTTATTGCTTTTACAGTGTGGAAAAGCTGATGTCCCTGAGGGCAGCGCAGCAACAGCTGCATGTTTCCTGGAGCTTGTGATGCGAGACAAAGAGTCCATGCTGTTATGTGCAGAGTCCCCTGATGAAATGAAGTGAGTAGAGTTTTTAATCATCATATTGATGTAGAGTGTCTGATGCCACTTCGAGGAGCGGCTGGCTGAGTGGTTAAGAACGCTTAGCTGCCATTCTGGTGACCCAGGTTTGAATATTCTGTATGGTGAGGGATTTCATTTAGCTGTTAGGGGCAGAAATAAAATCCTGACCAGCTCGTTCTTTTGGTGAGTGTATTAGCTATGTGGTCTTAAATCCTCAGACTTCGGACTTCTCTGCCAAACGCTGCCCTGAAAGACCAGTAAGACGAGTAGGAAAGATAGATGTCTCATTGATTAGAGTCTGTAACTTTTGAATGTTGCATTTATTAGAATGTCTGAAGTGTATGTTGTGCTCAAGATTATACTGTTGTTTTGCTTGTTGTCACTTAGGACCTAAGTCTGTACCACTCCATTCTGTCCTGAGCAATCTTTTGTATATTGTGTAGGGAGGTTTTTGAGAACCCAGTCCAGCATGGTATGAAACCCAGCCCAGCACCTTTGGCCTCTCTATCAGCGTTCATCTTTGGATTTCTCTGGGATATCTCTGTTTCCTCGGTCCATGTGTTTCAAGTCCAGTTTGCAGGAAGCCAGAGAAGAAGAGTAGACAGACACAGAGCTAGTGTCACCGGTCATTACATACTGATGGATTCACGGAGGCGGGGATCTCAGTGTTTATAGACTGAAAGGTTTAATGTGCTGTGAGGATGCTCTGTGGACTGACTGACTGACTAACTGATTCATTTGTTTCCCAATTCACTGCCTGTTAGGTGATTCTCTGCTTGGGATGTGCCCGGTATATTACCTTTTCTTTTGTCTTGTTCTTTTGTTTGCTTGAAATAGATTATCTATATCTGCAATGTGGTCTCTAATATAAACTTCACTGTCTTTTGTAATTCACTCAGCGACTCATAAAGTTTGTCATCAGCTGGTATTTCTCTTGGCCAGAAGTTTTGCCTTGATGTATTGTATTTGGGACAGTCTTGGAGGGCGTGATCTGTTGTCTCAGGTGCCAATCCATGTGACTGTTGATACTAAAGATTGTCCAGATGTTTCTCTTTGTTTCTTCAACTGTCTTTATTCATCCTTCGACTCTCAGGTTGACTCAGTCCAAAAAAAGTGGGTACCAGGTAAAGTCTTGGGAAGTAAAGTCAGCCGATGTGGTGTTGACCACATCACCCAATGAGTGCTGAATGATCTGTAAAGTTGAGTCTTCCATTTTAAGCCTGATGTATTACTAGCACGGAAAGGTCTTTTAGATCCTTTAAGTCCACAATGTTGGCACTTCTGATACCTGGATTATGAATTTAATGCTTGTGTATACTAAATCCTTTGCTAAGACTGCAGTTTGTTTCAGTTTTTTTCCACAAGGAAAATTCTGTGTGATTTTTTTATGGCAAAGGAGTTGAGCGACTGTTGAGTGACCTGTTTGCGGTGAAGTTGGAACTTCAATTATCCGATTGCTTAGGTCAGTTTATTCCAGTTAATTAAAGTTCATTGGTTTACATTGCTAACCTGCGATTGTGATTATGCTAGGCGTGAATGAATGAATCAGTCAAGAATGGACAATATTGTAGTTGGGACATTCCCACACATGCTCAGTTCCCATTCTAATTGTGCCCCTTGCAGCCTGGTTAAAGGCCCACCTGTCTTTTCCTCTGTGCATTGAAAATTGATTGAATCAGTCTTTTGAGGTAGGGATACTTTTTTCCACTGCACCGCCCGCTTGATTCCACAGAGCCTTCACCACGTCCTATTTATCATAAAATAGCTCACCGTTCAGAGGAATGGCAGCAGCCACTCGTGATTCAAAGGAATGGCAACAGCCAATTTCTCAGCCTGCTCTTTACACTGCACACTAGAATATCCTGGGCAGAAAGCGCCTGATATGCTCTTGGTCTAAGTCTTATTACACTCTGCCTGTAGGACATCAGTATGTTTCTCAAAGCGTGCTCTGTGAGTCCAATGACATGTCACACTGTCCTACTCTCCAGCTCTCGGAAAGCTGCCTCCACCTTTACTCTCGTGCTAGTTGTTTGGGACGTTATAAACAGAACAGGGCTCTCCTTTAAAGAATGTCTGTTCACCTTTGCAATGAAACCTCACCTATTCCTTTTACCTCCCACTACTACAACATCCCCATGTGGGATCCGGGGACCCCTTGTGGGGAAAACAAAAATATACCCACTGCTTCATAAAACGTATGTTGTAAGAGTCTACTAATTGTTGGTTAGCTTTAAAGCCGTAGTATATTTACCTAAGAGTCGGGAAACCAACAGTCTGCATACAAATAAGTCAGATCTGTAAAATGGATTCAGAGAAAGTTCAGAGATGGATGAACAACCAGAACTTTCCACCAGAGTTTACAGCCAGTGAATACTAAGAAGAAGAAGAATGCTACTCCCCCTGTGTATATAATAGTATCATCTGGACATGATTTGTCCAGCTAATCATAATACTGTTAAGTCAAAGTGCATACCCTGGCCAACTTGGCCCCCACTGTTAGCACATAAGGAACTGGAGTCAGTGGCCATTCTCTACAACAGAAGGCAGACAAGCAAAAATTGATTTTATTGGGATAATAACATGGGAATCAAACAGCCAACAAAAGGAAACTACTACTTTCTTCTTTGTGCCCACCGGCTGTAAACTCTGGTGGAAAGTTCTTGTTGTTTGTCTACCTCTGGACTTTAGTTTTGTTCCAGAACTTGAATGTTTCCTGCACATCTATTTCACAGATCTGACTTATTTGAATGCATGTTTTTAGTTCCTTGCCTCTCAAGCAGACGCACTCTGACTTCAAAGAAAGCCAGCAGTTAGTCGACTCTTACAGCATGCTTGTTTGGGAGGCAGTAGGTCTATTCCTGTTTTCCCCACAGTGGGGTCCTGGAACCCACAAGGGGATAACAGGAAACACAACCGGGAAAACTAAGAGGGTGAATTTGGGACAGAGTTGAGTTGAGTCAAGAATTGACATCACAGCACTTGGGATATTCCCATGCATGCTCCATCCTCATCTTCAGCAGCCAGCACAGAGTTGCAGTACCGATGGGACCGATCACAATCTGTTTATATATCCATCTTGCCTTTCCTCTGAGTGTAGTGAGCTGGCCAGACCCTCTGGTTACACCCAGATGCTTTATTCTCTCCAGGCCTTAATTATCTTCTATCTTTGTTGATTCCGTTGCTTGTTCCCAAGGGGCCATGACCACATCTATCTTGTCATGTATCATACTCGGTGGTGCAGATCCAGCCAGTCTGCCTGTTCATTACCCACCACCCTGGCATGGCCTGGAGAAAAGATTCAAAGTATGCTCACTACCTGTGACCTTTTTAGTGAAGCTTGCTACTCTGCTCGAAGCATCCCTGTCTTCACTTTTTACAGCTGAATTTGGGACAGAAAAGTACTGTATTAAAAGTGTATCTGATTTACAGTTTTTCCGTGTAATGTTACTTTTTGTTTTTCAATTTTTGTTAACCAGGGCATGGCAGATAGCTTTAGAAGAGGCTCGAACTCTGACACCAGATTACAGACCTGGAGTAACCTCAACAACCATCATTACTCCACCCGGCTACGTCTACGGAAGCCCTTATGGTGGATATGGCTATCCAGGTCAAGTGCTGAGCCCTCCCCCAACTCAAGGTAAGATAGTATGGAAAAAAGAGACATGGGAAATTAATGTGTCTTGTGTTCAGACTATCGATCGGTCAGTCTGTCCCTCCCCATGGTGCTGTCTAAAGGTTTACAAAACCACCCAGAGATTGTTATGGACGGCACACCAATCAGGCAGATTCCAGATACCCAGTTCAGCCTCCAGAGAAGTTGCAATTAGATCATGTAAAACGGCTACACCTGCCAGCTGTCACCTGCAGTGCTCTGTGGGTGAGGACCTGATGTGTTTAGTATTGAGAAGTCCAGCTAATTATTCTTTTTTGCCTGCCTTAGCCTGAAAAAGTTGGTTGTGTTTGTCCGCTGTCAACTTCTTCTTCTTCTTTTCCTAATTCTCCCATCCCCCTCTTCCTCTTCATCCTTTTTCTTCTCCTTCTCCTCCATCTTTTTCTTCTTCTCCCCCTCCTTTTCTTTTTCCTAGTTACTTTATCGAAGTGTTAGGGGAAGATGTAAGGTTCTTTTGTGTGCTGTCTCCATTGTGTTGTATAAACTGATATTTCTTTCTACAGAGCTGTTCCTGATGCCATCATACCATATCTGCATGGCCTTCCCTTTGTTTTTATATTTCTTCGGCCTAGTAATTGGTACCAGATCATTCTCGTCAGATGGGAAAGCTTTCAAATGGCTTTCAGCAAAGTTGTCATATTTCCCCTTTAAAGTTGACCAAGTATTAGGTCACCTAACCCCACTTCCACAATGTGACTTGCACCAACTTAACACTAAGAAGCATTTCATGCAATGTATATTCATTCCCACTCTGTGCTGTCAGTGCCACACATGGTCACTCACAACAGTACAGAAAACGGACATTAGTAATCATGGAATCTGGCCGGTTCTGCACCAGTTGCTGGTGAACTGATGTATAACAACCTGGATGTTGTGGGAGCCCTTTGGGAGCGAGTGAACAGTGCCGAGGCACAGACAGATCATTATGGTCTAAGGAGAATGACGCTGCAAGGAGTTAAATGGGGATCTGGCCGACGCTTGACACTCAGGGGAAAGGCGAAGTGGATATGCAATCAGATAGTTACTGGTACCATCAGAATTTAAACTGTTTGCTTGCTGCTGAAGATGGGGACAGAGCGCTTATGGGGGTGTCTCGAGTGCTGTGATGTCGATTCTTATTTCAACATTCAGCATTTAGTAATCATGGAAATAAGATGTTTGCGAAAGACTGCTGGACTGATGAAAAGTGATAACATGAGGAGTACAGTAGAAGGGAAATATTCAGCCTAGAAACTATACTAACTTGTATTACAAAGACAGTGGATAAAATGCTTTGCCACTTAAAAATAACACCTTCTGATGCAATACTAATGTTACAGATTTGGATTATTTAGACTGATTAGTCATTTGGAGCACAGCTAAAAGAGATGAAGCTTTATTGCAGGTTTTCAAAAACGGAGCCTTAAGACAAATTTTTTGACCCTTCAAAGATGCAAACAGTGGGGAATAGAGAGTGAGAAACAATAACAAAATTCATAATCTGTTTAAATCACCACTGATCACTGACATCATGAGAGTTAATAGACTGAAATGGTTAGGGCATACTGAAATTTTGTCAGATGACAGAGAAGTAAAAACTATATACACAAGGGAGATAAATGGTTGTAGACCACGAGGCAGACCAAGAAGAAGATGGAGATAAAATGTCCAGACAGACCTGCAGACACTTGGTGTCACCAACTGAAAAGAGAAGCCCAACCAGAAGAAGAAGAAGACTCATTAGTGAACAACAGTTTTGACTGCACAGAAGAACTCAGAACAAGACTTGTCTTAGCAATGCATGGACTAAACAGCATTAAAACCTATGGCATAGCACCTGCAAGTGAGTTAAAGTAACAAGTTTAAGATCATGTGTCTTTTCCCTGCAACTTACGCATGTGAATCATGGACTCTTACTTAGTTTTTGAAGAAGAAAATTTTAGCTTTTGAACTGAATGTATTTTGAATTAAGAATTGACATCACAGCACTCTGAACACCCAAAGAAGCGCTCTGTCCCTATCTTCAGCAGCGAGTGAAGAGTTAAAATTTTGATGGTACCAGTAAGTGTCTCATTGTATATCTGTCTCGCCTTTGCCCTGAGTGTCGAGCGTCGGCCAGATCCCCTTGTAACTCCTTGCAGTGCCAATTTCCTCAGAACATAATAATCTGTCTGTTCCTTGACACTGTTCACTCCCTCACAACATCCAGCTTGTCATAAATCAGTTCATCACCAATTGGGGCAGAACAGGCCAGTCTACCTGCCTGCTCATTTTCCAACACACCAGCATGACCTGGAGAAAACATCTAAAGGATACTAACTACCCGGGACCTTTGAAGGGATTATTTTCTATGGATTTTGAACTGAAATGCTACGGAAAAATTCTTGCTGTACCATGGACCAAGAAGAAGAGAAACACTGAGAGCCCACATGATCTGAACATTAAGGAGAATGGACTCTTGAACAGCATCCTGTCCTGAAGACTAGGGCACTGAGGTCGTGTTAAGCGTCATGGTGGCCTGCAGAGAACAGTGATGGAGGGCACAGTTTCTGGAAAATGATGCAGAGGTAGACTCCCCAAAAACTGCGGATGAAAGATGTTGAAGATGCTTTGGCTATGAAAGCACAAAGGGCTGGAGAAATATCTAGAGGAAGAGAGATGTTCAGGCGTGCTGTGATGAGAGCGATATTCTGTAAAGGACCTGCTGATGGATGAAGATGATGCAATACCAAGAGCCAACAACAAGGTGGGGAGATAACATCTAAGGAACTACCACAGTATTAGTACAAAGTGTCTAAGGTTGGGGTCAGAAAAGAGAACCTTCTTCTTGGCCACTGGCTGTAAACTCCCGCAGAAAGTTCTGGATGTTTGCCCACCTCTAGACTTCAGTCTTGTTCCAGAACCTGGGTGTTGCATGCACATCCATTTTTATATGTCTGGGTTATTTGTGTGCAGACTCTTGGTTCCTGGCCTCTCAGGCAGACGTACTCCGACTTTGAAGGATTCTCCCAGTTATTTAGACGACTCTCGGGACATGCTTGTTGGAAAGGTGGGGGGGGGGGGTTGGTCTGTTCATGTTTCCCTGATGAAAAGGGCCTCGGAACCCTCTCAGGGGGGAACAAATTCGGTAATTCAGTCATTGATTCATTCATTGTCCTATTGTACCATATATATGTCACACAGGGCTTACAGTCCAATTCATTCCATTTTAAGAAGCGGAAAGTAAGAGCTGAACACATGGTCTTGTGAACATAACTTTAAAAAAACTGATTATTTTTTTCTCTGGAGATGCCTCAGGATCATTGCTTGAGCTACGGAGATCCTGCTCTCTTTAAGTCTCAACAGGCGGCTAGCCGTTTTATACAGAGAAATGGAGCCTTATTGGATAAAACCCAGTGCAGTGAAGTTTTTAGATGACAACACATTTTAAAATGAATGATATAGGCTAGTGTTTGCCAAACTTTTCTTTGTCGCAATGCCTTTTTTTTATCAGTTGCAATTTTTCCACGGCGACCTAACCTAAGTAAAAGTATGACTATTTGTATGTAAGAGATTTTAAAAAAAAAGTTTGGAAATCACTGATATAGACAGTTCCTTGATGGCACCAGTGCTTGCTTAATGATTTTATTTGTGTGTATCTAACAGTCATTCGCACACCAGATGGCACCACGACCACTATTGTGAATGCTCCACCTTACCAGCAGGTGGTTTACGTGGATGACGGTCCATTCCGATATCGACCGTACTCCTATGGTGCTGTGTATCCTGTTCCTTTCTTCTTTTGGTGATCAACAGATTGCTGCTGACCAGACAAGATGGCGACCCATCTCATAATATTATATTTAAATGTTTTTTGTTATTTTTTTTATGCTTTTTGTAAAAAAAAAATCCCTGCATCATTACCATTCTGAGTATAACTTTACTCATCCTTAAAACACATTTGCCATGTGCTCAGACAAATATTAATTGATTTGAACAAAGAAGACACAAACAATAGAAAAATAATAAATAAATTCTTAAATCTGAAACACAAAATCAGCTACATTCAAAAACTGTATGTTTCACCAGGGTAAACTCAATGTGAAGAGCATGTCTTTTTGTCTGCATAATTCTGGACTAGACTGGTTTATAGCGGTCGCTCTTACAAATCTCAGCAATCTACTGTTGGCTGAATGTAATAGGTTCAGTTCAAAGGATTCATTTATTTGCTTCATTATAATCAATTGTTACTGTAGTATGCACCTGAAGAGATGCAGCAAAATATGCAAGGCAGTAAATTGTGCATTTTATTGTTTGTGTCTTCTTTGTTCAAATTCACAACAGGGAAATATTGCTTTATATATTAATGGTTTAATTTTGTGATAGTAGATTGAGAAAGGTTAACCATTAAAATATTTTTTAAATTATGTTTTAATGGAATGTTTTTCATTCATACCTTTGGATTTATGCTGATGGAGAATGAGCATGTGTGTGTTTATCTCTAGTGCTGTGATATTGATTGCTATCAGTAATAATTATTAAAATTATCACCCTGGTGACCAAGAAAAAACCATAAAATTTATATTTTTGGAATTTCCAGTTGTCATTCTTTATATATCCACATTGTCCCCTCTTTGATGCAATTTTTTTTTTATTTTTAGGCTCGGGGGCCTAACAGCTGGGACCTTCCATGGGTAATTCTCATTGACATGGTGGCACTTTGTGTCACTGGGTATTTATTGTTCTGTGTGATGTCCTGGTGGGGTACAACTACCAACCAACCAATTTCCAGTTTTGCCCCCAAAATATCTACATTTTAAAAACAAACAGTTGAATGTAAATCAGACGCACAAAAATCAAAATATTTCCATTTATAAACAAAACGAACAAAAATTTAACTGCATTCAAAATAATGGGAGTAATCAATAAACAGGAAGTAGGCATTTGTTCTAGGGATTCTGGGGCAAAAGGTTATTTAAAAAGTTAGTGGCTTGTCCTCTTCAGAAAGTTGCCTACAAGCACCGGCATTTATGGACTGTGGTTTTTACCAGGCAGGTTGACTTTCAGTAGTTTTCCATTGCTTTCTGAATGCTACATGGATCACTTTATTGTCAAAATCAGTGCATAGCAGTCTGCTGCTAAAAAGCCTACAGCTGATTTTGTTGGGTTTGCATAACTGTGTTCAGAAGCCAAGATGCCTGTGGTTGCTGCTCACCCACAGCATTTTTTCTCTTCCTACGCCCTCAAATGTGAGCATGCATTTATTAAAGAAAGCAGCATTCAGTTGAGGTTGTCACCGTCTCCACAGCTTGTCCTCGCATTGAACAGGTGCAGGCTAATATAATGACCGGTGTTGTGCGTATATTAGACACTTGCAGCACGCAAGTAAAGTTCCAATCCTAAAGTGCAGGCTTGCCACACACACACACTGCCTCACAGGTAGTAAGTATACTTTCGATCTTTTCTCCAGGCCATGCTGGTGTCGTGGGTAATGAACAGGTAAACAGATTGGCCACTGGGTGGTGAATTGATACATGACAAGGCAGATGTTGTCAAGGCCATTTGGGAACAAGCAGCGGAATCAGTAGAGAAACAAGATTATTATGGCTTGGAGACAATGAGGCACCTGGGTGAAACCAGAGGGTCTGGCTGGCTCACTGCACTCGGAGGAAAGGCAAGACGGACATATAACCAGATTGTGACCGGTACCATCAGTATTTGAACTCTGCGCTAGCTGCTGAAGATGAGGATGGAGCACCCATGGAATTCCCCAAGTGCTGTGATGTCAATTCTTGACTCAACACACACACAAATGTTGAAACCACAATTTCTACCATGAAATCATGCCATGAGGGTTAGAAACTTTGATTTCTTATTAACGTTAAATATTGAAAACTTGAATTGTAAATACTTTTTTTAAAAGCCATGTTTGTAATGAGATATGTTCATTATTGTTACGTCACAATTGTGATTATGAACTTTATCATGTGCAAAACACTATATGCTCATTTTTTATCCTTTTTCTTTTACATTTTAACAAAAAATGCTAGGTATGGTTGCATAGAAAAAAGGTTAAGAATATTGGAGCGAAACGAAAAAGATTAATTAAGACTTCTTGAAAGAAAGTAGCTCATGAAGAGAAATGGTTGTTTTTATCAGAAGCAGACAATCTACTACAGAAAACACAATGAGAAATGGTTTGCCCACTTAGAGAGAATGCCTTGTGACACCATACCATACAAAGCATACATGGAAAGAGAAGAAGCTCGTAGAGCAAGAGGTAGACCAAGAACAATATGGAAGGATAACATCAGAGAAGATCTACAACAGCACGATGTGCCTATGGTCGAGGCGGCCAGAAGAGCCAGAAACAGAACCTTATATCTCCCTCGACACCCACAGCGGTAAAAGAGGAAGTGAAGAAGAAGAAACAATCTACGAGAAGAATTCATAAAGCAAAGGCTGTTGTGTCCTAGTCTACATGGAGCAGTATGCAGAAGAAACAATATTATTTCAGGACACAAAATATTGAAACATCCAGCATACAACCCAGACTTGGCCCATCAGACTTTCATTTGTTCGACCAATCTCTGGTGTCAGAGATTTGCAGACAGTGAGGTGATGTCGGTGGTGCATGCAGACTTGGTTACCCAATAGCTTCTACCTGGCGGGCATCCACAGTTGTATGCATCAGTGGACTAAACAGGGTGAATCCATAGGTCACGGGACAGTCAGATATTTTAGGGGGTGGTAGATTAAGCTCATAGTTTTGGTTGGGTTAGGTTAACCTGCAAAAACCTTGGCCTTGGAAGTAACGCACTAGAGCACAGAAAAAAAACGGAAAGCCGCGCTTACCACCTTCTAAAATATTGGACTGTTCCGTGATGTCATTTGTGGTTGGCTGGAGGAGGGGGGGGCATCCAAATTTGTTTCTTGTAAAAGACTTATTAATGCAATTGTCTTAATTATTTTCTCTCATACGTTCTTTGTACATAAGAGGAAAAGAGCTAAATGCCTGCTTCTTAATTTCTGTACACTTGTTGAGAATACCATAGAGCAATTAAAAAGTTAAAAGTTAAGAGGTTTGACTTTATTGAATTGGGTTATCTGCCCCATTTAGCCTGGTCTGTCTCTGCAGAATGGCCTGGCACCTGCCAAAAAGTCGCATAAATTCCATAGCTTCGGTGACAAACCGCAAGGATCTCCATAAAGACTAAACTCTGGAGCTGAGCTGTGTTTTGATGAAACAAGTCCATGCCCTTCAGAATGTAATGCAAATGGTTTTGTTGCGGAGACCTCTGGAAGAATTAAAATAATAATAAGATATCTTGAAGGAAACCAACTTATGAAAAGAACTGGTTCGTTACATTAGGAGTAATTCATATTATTAAATGAATAAACAAACAAACTTTATTTTAAAAGGGTTAGGAATTGGGCATGCAGGCCGGTCTGACATTCTGCCCTTCTAGTCTCCATCCCTTCTGAGATTATTTCATTCATACACGAAGTAATAGTAAATATGAACAGTAGCATCAGAATATTCAGTACAAACATTAACAAGCAATGCACATGCACATTTCCAACTAAAGACATTTATTAAATCAATTTAGTTGTCTTGAAAAAAAGCAGCTCATGAAGATAACTAATTTCTTGCATCAGAACTAGACAGTTTGAAGTTTGAACAATGGATCAAAATCATGGCACAAGGATAGTAACCCATAAGTGCTCCGTTCTTTTTCTAAGTCAAGTCTGAGTCCGAAGAAGATCAGCACAGGCTCTGTAGCCTGGGCGTGGATCCTGAAATACTTGAGGTAGATTTGAGGGCATCCGATCTTCTCACTACCCAGAGACCAGGGGGAATTACTAGAAGTCCAAGTCCACATATAAAAATCCCAGCCCTTACCAGGGCTTGAACCCAGGACCTCCAGCACTCGAGACCACGCAGCCCCAGACAACTAGACAATCAACATTCTTTGTTCACTTGACAAGTGGTACTATTTACTTCTTGAACTATATCTATGGATTTTTATTCTTCACGAGTTAATATTCTTCTGAGACATCTTAATGTTCCTGTTATTTCTCTATGGTATGTTGAACATTCAACATTGAACATTCAACATACCATAGAGAAATAACAGGAACATTAAGATGTCTCAGAAGAATATTAACTCGTGAAGAATAAAATCCAGTCATCTCCTTGTAAGATGCAATTTCTCATTATTTGAAGCCCTACTCTGGCTCTTGCCAGAGGCTGCAATATAGCCCGATTATAAATATGGTCTAATGGCTGAACGCAGTTTCTGGGACCTCTCCACAGTGATCCTTATCCTCATGGTAGCACTTTATGTCATCAGGTGTTTATCGCTTGTGTGATGTCCTGGTGGGGTAAAAATCTACTACTTCTACTCGTGAAGAAAATTGGTTGTTTGCATGAGAAGACAGTCCACATTTTTGGCACACAAGTAAATATCTGCTGCTGAAGTTGTGGTCGTCCTCAGTCTTTCCTCAAATGGCGTTGGTAAAGTGGTCGACTAGATAATGTCACATCAGGAAAGTTGAGATTGTCTGGAAGATCAAAAGAGCTGCTGAGATTAGGGATTGAAGGAGCAGAGAGTGTCTGAGGATTGAAGGAGCAGAGAGTGTCTAGGGATTGAAGGAGCAGAGAGTGTCTGATGATTGAAGGAGCAGAGAGTGTCTGAGGATTAAAGGAGCAGAGAGTGTCTCAGGATTGAAGGAGCAGAGAGTGTCTAGGGATTGAAGGAGCAGAGAGTGTCTGAGGATTGAAGGAGCAGAGAGTGTCTGAGGATTG